AGCAGCCAGGCCAGGCCAGCCCAGCCCAGCCGCCAGGCCACGCCAGCCCAGCCCAGCCGCCTTCCGAACCGGTCCAAAACCGTTCACACCCCGGGGTCGTGCCCGGTGCGTTCGTTTAGTGCCCACGTGCCTCGACCGCAGCCGTGGAGTTCCCGGAAGAGCGCCCGGTGGGGACGGACGTTATGTTAATGCGGGCGACGCGACGCGGCGCCTTTTCCGGGAAACAAAACGTGCGCCGAACTAATCCCTTCCCTCCATCCCGGCACCCGGCCAGTCGCCTGTGACGTCACAGCTGGGAGCGCCCGGGACGCTTGCCTCCGCATCAGCTCCACGTTCACATCCACGTCCACGCTTTCACCGGGACTTCCACTGCGTTGTGACTGTCACGGTCACCCCCAACGGCAGCGATGGGTCTCCATGTGGTTTTATAATGCAAGGACTGCTTCAGAAAATTTATAAAACATCTAAAGGAGGGATTTAGAAAATAATTCATTATGATTCAATTAAAGGTTGTCTTAAATTTTCAAAATTCTACCTATGTATTTTCTCATTTCTAGATAAATTTATGGTAATAATTATTTCTTTCTTAGGTTTCTTTAAATTTGTGTGTTTAATTTATGACTAGCTAAATATCCGTCGATGCCTGGGCCTTCTTCAATCCCAATCCTTGCGAAAGAGGGAAAACTTCTATTTTATATACCACGGCGTTTAATATTATGACTTTTAATGTAATTGATTCAGAACATAAAAAAATACTATAATTTTCGATCATTTTATTTTGCAAAACATTGCTTTAGATTATAAAAAGTATCTTACGTTCCACTACTGGTCTTTAGCGATTCTATTAGATACCAGTTCTGCTGCACCGCAACTGTCTTCTGGTGGTACATATTAGAAATCCATCTGCTCTTAGCGACAAGCCAAAAACAATGATAGTGGTGCATCAACCAACATATTATTAAAATTATTTATATATTATTAAAATTATTTATTTGTTTGTAGTGCATTAGTCTATACCAAACTGCACGGACACTGCGACAAGCCTGGAGAAGAGCCTGTAAAAATTCGTATCTATCGTTTTATTAGAAGAGACTTAAGCAGAGGCGAAGCTACGTCTGGCAATCCAAGGTGATTGAGGGTTCAAAAGGGACTCCCTCTGCCATTGCCACTGTCACTGTCATTGCCATCCTTAATTGTCAAAGCATGGGCCCTTGGCTTTGGGGACCATGCTGCCACGCCCAGGTTGCACAGCCTGTTTTTGTATGTGTTATTACGAGGATAACTTCACTTGACATTTTCTGCCTGACCGGATATGGTCAACAATTAAGAATATGGATACCATCCCTCCCCTCTCTGTAAAGACCAAATGCTCATAAATCAATTAGGACAATTCAACCTCCCAACTTCGAAGACATATGACGTCGTTTTGTATTCCCCTCGCGGTCTGTTTTATTCCTAACTGCTTTAAGTTACAAGATTACTCTCAACCGCAGGCACTGAGCCAGATGCATTTCGAAGTGCACGGCATCACAGCCAATTTATCAATGAGTAATAAGATGCAGAAGGTACTTTATTCATTGACGGTTGAGATGTGCAAAAGACACTTGAAGTTTCGGATGAACATTGCGAGATAAATGAAATTTAATATAATGAACATCTAATAATATCCCATTCATTATCAATAATGACAATAGGGCTTTACACATGCTTCATGATATGAGTATGTAGTTCAACTCCACCTGCATGAAAGTTTGAATTAGATCTGAACTGCACATCATTTGAATATTCATAAATTGTTTTATGTTACACTTAAGAAATCTCTCCATCAACCACTTCTCCATAGCGCATCTTGATCGCGCTGTTCGTCCATTTTCCCACAGACTGTGAAAAAAGGCTAAAGAAGGTTCTTTGCTCTTGGACAATATCCCCTCCTAAACCATTTTTACAATGTCTATTTAAAACAATCCAGGGCTCAATGCATAATTAAGTTAATTGCTTCATTTACGGAAGTAAATTATTAAAAATAAATATATTTTTTGACATTCGTTAAATAATTTAATCAATATAATTAATTTAAGTTCTCAATATTTTAAAATGATAACAAATTAATAAGTATTCTCGAATATCCATGAGACCAGAGCGCTCGGGCAACTAACCTTCCCCAAATGCTGAACCTAAGATCCAGGCTGCTTATCTGAAAGGTAAATGAGAACTCAGGAACGAATAATGTCATTTTTGATAACCTACGTATACAGTAATTGAATACGTGAATGCTTTTTGAAACCTATGCAAAAAGTAATTGAGTGATTCTTGCTGACGTG